ACTTTTCGATGCTCGAAGAAGGTGTTCATTATAGACAATCCGTTGTTTGCACAAAACCGCAACAACTTCAGTGACACAACTGAGTGCGCGCTTCTGGACACAATAAGAATACCCAACTTAATAAAATATAGTGTAATCTAACCGCGGTTATGGCACTAGTATGCGGAATCGAAACGTGTGAGTGAGTAAACAAAATTATGTAATTTTTTATATTCTGTTGCTTTGAATTATGAAATGAAGCAGGAAAATCATTCATTGTTATCGAAACAGGCAATTATGTCATCCAACAATGATGTTATCCAACAGTTAACTGATGCCTTGTTCCACGGCTATAGAAATGCCTACTGTGTGAAAATTAAAAAAAAAAATAATTCAAATCGTTTTCAATTTTGTCGATTTCTCATGTGATGCGGACAGTTGAGAGATTTTCTACATCGTTCCCCGTGAAAATTGATCCTGCAGACAGAACGCGGAAAGTGCTTACTGTAGCATGAGATAAGTGCTGTTTGATGCAAATGAGCGGCACCGTGTTATAGAAGCGCTGAAAGGTAGATTTTTTAGGGAAGTAGCAGCATATTTTCAAGCAGCCTGTTTGTTATGAAGTAAATACTGTGATGACGTTTCGCTCTTATTTAAAATTTTGTTTTTAAGCCAGTACAACTGCCGGTGAGGTTCCTCTCATAAATACTGGAGTCTTTCATTGGTTCCAGGTCAAACCAGATCGGTGGTAAAGCTAAAGCTTGAAGGTTACATTTTTGGTACACATTATATCAGCTAATTTTGATAACAGTTTTAAATAATTTTAACGCTAAGCCGTGAGTAGTATCGGTGTATATGCCTGGTTAATGGTTAAGTTATGTAGTTAGATTTAACTCTGGCGAACACGTTGCTTCAGCTGGCATACCGTTTGATTCTAGCTAAGAATTATTCAGATTGTTTCCATTTGCGTTCTTGTTGTGATGCTTTGCCATATTCTCCATTGTATTCCCATAGTTGTACTTTCCGGTATTAATGCCGATTTTGAGTGTTCAGTGATGCTGTAAACATAGTTTTTTAAGATCAGCGGTTTAAGCCACAACAAGAGTCGAATGGTTTTTATATAGAACAGTTGTTTCGTGCATAGCCCATATGACTTTCCGTTTGAGTTGGAAGCAAAGAATTGAAAAACTTAGACGCAGCACATTGCAGTCGGAGAACGTGTATCTTAAGCTCTTTAAATCGGAGTTACACTGGTTTTTCAGCTATCACGTGGGTCATAGAGAAGTGCCGTCAGTGGGATGCTTGCATTGGACAGCATGGTCATACGTTTGATCTGTTCTGGCATGATCAAACCAGAATATTAGGTTAGCCCTATTATTTGCAATTCACTGCAAATTAATACCCGTTTTTGGATCGGTAGCGCCGAAGCAGCATGGTATTAATACCTTACTCAAGGGAATTCACAGTCAAGGTTGTTTCTCCAGCTGATTCGATCCCTGCACTTGAGGTTCAAAGCCGACCTCAGCCACTACGCCATCACGCCCCACGTTGCTTCCCTAAATTACATTTACAGATACACACGAGTGCGACTATTCTCCGATAAACAGGGTACTCGGTCTGTCCTTATTCAACACGCTAAGGGTGTCCCATTTGCAAGTCAGAAGGAACAACTGAAAAGATCAGCTGAGCATTTTCTGCAGCCGCTCTATGGCTGTCCTCCAAATTCGTCATTTCTGACGGTTAATTCTTTGCTGGCATTAGAGGTTGGTACAGACTTAGGCACAGAACTGAAAGTCCAAAAACCTTATTGCACTCAGGTTGAACAAGACCTGTGGGTTGATCAAATTGCTACTGAGTTAATTAGTGTGGAGGGACGGGAATGACTGAAAATTCCATATCCTCTTTCATGGAAGTGTTAAGTCATTGTTTCTATATTTAATGATAGTCGGATGACCGAGTGTTTCAGTTATCGTGCTAACACATTGCTATCAAATATTATCCGTAATTATCCTGGAAAAGCTGAGGCAAACAAGTGATGGGATACTTCGCCCAAATCAAGTCGATCCGGATGGGTATTCCTGCTCTGACAAAATTTTAACGTTGTATAAGATCACTGAACAATGCTAATGGTTTCGGTTGCTTTGCTTTGCTTGTTCCCTCTACTTAAACGGTGCATTTGATTCAAGACATCATCTAAAAAATGATGTGGAAAACTTTGAAATGCTATGAAATATCTGTGCCTTGATTTCTATTTTGGTAGAAATGTATGCAGC